CCATCAATTGAACAAATAAAAAAACGAAAAAATAGTAACATATCAACTACACCAATGGAAAAACGAAAGTGTTCAACAGGAGAAGATGATGATAAGGATTTATCACAAGAAGATGATAATAACGATGTAACACAAGAAGATGAAAATAATGATGTATCGCAAGATGATCTTGGCAATGTAATTTTCGAAGATGATGAAAAAGAAAATAATATTTGTGATGATTAAATTACGATGTGGTTAAGAATAAATCAATAGTCTATTTTTTGTTGATACACATTTGTTATTTTTCTGTTAATTGTGTATGAATAAGAAAAGTTATTGAAAATAAACAGTTATCAGATAGAAATATTTTAATGTGTATTGAAATAAGACAGAAAGAATTTTGGGAACGTCAATTTTGGTGTGGGTGTGGATGTTTGGGTGTGGGTGTGGGTGTGGGGGTGTGGGTGTTAGGTTGTTTTATAATAGGCCACATCGACACCCACACACATACTCCACATCCACACTCACACACTTACCTCACACCCACACCCACAAATCCACACCTACACCCATATACCCACACCCACACCTCATCCACCCACACCCACACCCACCCACCGACACCCACACACCCACACATCCACACCCACTCATCCACACCTACACCCATATACCCACACCCACACCTCATCCACCCACACCCACACCCACACCCATCCACGCCCACACCCACACCCACACCCACACCTACACCCACCCTTTTCAGAACATCCTTTTCACAATGTTTTCAACAAGATGACTCAACAATGGTACACTTATGTTATATTATCTCGACTCAAATCAACAGCGATGTTATCTTACAAAATACGCGGTAGACTACGAGGGAGAGAAGAAAGTAAAAGTCCTTCTACATGTGACAAGACAAAAATACAGCATTCTCTTTCTTTCTTTCTTTCTTATTTAGATATTTGGGCTACTGCACTTTCGCTGTTATCATTCCCTTTCTTTTCATTCATCAACACACCACGCGAATGGCGCAGTACGACCAAATTGCTGCGAAATATTTGGCTTACAAACTGCATAGTAGTTTTTTGTGAGGATGTCGAGTATCACACATTTGTTCACCATTTACTCTTACCAGCATTGGGTATCAAAGACGCAACAACAATTGATTTTAAAAAAGTTCTGGCGAGTTATCGTGTTTTAGATCTTGCCTGTGGTGGAGGATATTTAACAAGTAAGGAGTCGTTTTTAATGTTTAAATTCAATGATCCGTTATTCAAATTTCCTGTCTTTTACGTTAATAGGAAAACTTAGAGAAGAACTCGGCTGTGAAGATGTATTTGGCGTTGATATAAGTGCCAATATGATTGCCATTGCTCGCACCAATGAAGAAGCTCATCCACTTGGTATTGTCTATCACGTCTTAGATGTACTAAATTTGGCCAAACCAGAGAAAAAGTTCGATATTGTTGTAGCTTTTTATCTCCTTAACTATGCTAAGACAATCGATGAACTTGATCGGATGGTACAGATTATTGGCGAGCAACTGAATGATAGTGACAAAGCTCACTTTCTTAGTATTACTTT